GCTTATTGGTATGCCGGTGACACACGGGTCCAATTTGGTTACCGGCGTCTGCGAATCGCCGAATATCATCTACTCCATTGAAATTCCGGTATAGGTATGAGACGCGATATCGCATTTGTCTCCCTGACTGTGTTACCTAACGCTCGCATTTTGGCGCCTGTTGTTCTCTCACGAGGACGTGACTACATGCCAATGAAGCGCGACCCTTGTTTTATCTAACACTTTAAACATCATCGCGGCAATTATTCTTTTTTAAATATGTATTTTTTATATATGTAAAACCGATAAAAATATATATTACAAGCAACAGCAACAATGAAAGTTAAATTATAGCGAAACAAGTCCGTTTGAGAAACTTGTATGTAAAATATATTCTGATAATTTTTAGTTTATATTTTTATACGAATTGTAATATTCTTAAGCGCGCTTCTGATTAAGAGAGAGAGAGAGAGTAAGTAATGTTAGATAATAATTTGCGCGCAATCTGAAAAGTTTCACGCGTCTAGTGCTATCGATTCCCGCGTAGATTCTATAAAACAGGACGAGGTAGATTTAGATTCGACCCTTGCCGCATGACATTTCCGTCGAACGTTGCTTCTTGGAATACATGAAGGCGCATATGAAAGTATATCTAGAGATGAATGTCAACGCGATTTATATTTCCGAGGAAAAGTTTCTCTTGCCATGCGGCACGGCTGCACAATGGCTATTCTTGGACGCTTGTTGGACATTCGCATATATCCATGCGTACAGCGAAAGTATATATACTAAATGTATGCTGGGGTCTTATGTCGGGAAAACAAATTGTCATGAATAAATAACAGGTACTACGAGGATAATCCTTCCAGCCTCTCACAAGAACAAGCCGAATGCGCGCTGATCGTGTCGGCTATCAATCGATACAGTCCCGTATGTTTTCGCGTGCCGGCAAGGGCGAATCATGGCGAACGCTCGTAATTCTCTCCCATCTGCGGCGGAGCGGGTCAGACACGGGAGTAGGGTGTAGCAAGGGGTAGAAAGGGGGCGCCTTTCCCTGCCTCTGTCCGCCGCCCCCTCCGTGTTCCCTTCCGCTGCCTCTTTCGTAGGGCACAGTGGAAGCACCCAGGGGCAATTGAAACTCACGGCCATTTACTGCATTTCAATAATGGTTTCCCATCTCCCTCTCCGCGCCCCCCTGCCCCCCGCCCCCTTCCCGCCTCTTACTGCACCACCGCGTATTCCTCCTCCCGCCGCCGCCGCCGCCTCCACTTTCCACGTACGTGCAACACGAGAGCTCGGGCTGCACAGTCGATTTACTACGAGCTTTATGGTACACACCGCGCGAGAGAGCACGCAGAAGTACCCTACGGCTAACTATCCCGCGCGCGTCTACCACGGACGACTGCATTATTCCCCGTAAACTATCGCGAGCCACACGCGTGCACGCACGTACGTAACGCAACTATTTTTATGCTTCACAGAAAAGCTCGCACGCACGTTAAAAAGCACGTGGCCAATTTTCATTGGCGAGCGTGAAAAGCGTAGTGCACGTGTCCCATTTCCTCCATTCACTCGTACACATATTTGTAACGAAGCGGAAAAATAAATATAAAAAATTTAATTTAATAATGCGCCAGTTCAATCGAATTTCCGCTGGCAAAACATCAATCGAAATTAGTAGTTGGTTTTTGGCGTTTACGACCGGACACTTACAAGTCGTTACCGGAGAAATGACAATTATGATGGCGATAACCATAAACCGCGGGAGTGAATATCGATTAAACGATCGAGAACGCGCCACGTCCTGTAATACGCGAGATCATTTCAGAACCGCCATCGGAGGTGGATAATTGAGATGGATATTGAATCGTCGGCGCGTCATATTTCCGTGGGCTTATTGCCGTCTGGTGTCCAGGTACATTCGTGCAATCGGCCGTACGATACGAATACGTTACCGGTTCCAGTAAATTTGAAATCGGCCAAATCGCCCGCAGACAATGGGCGGCGAAACAAATTTCACCCATTAGCAACCGACGGAGGATACGTGTCACGCTGCAGTTGTCGTCAATACAAATATCTGCTCGCGCGAGATGCGCCCATATTCGTCTGGATCCCTTCCATACGTCTACCCATATACATATATGCGCATATGTACGCACGGATATAAACGAAAAAAAGCTCGAATTTATTCCGTAAAATCGCGACAAGTCCGGATATATACCCCGACTATAAATACGACGATCCAGATTGTAACGATCGAATTGAGCATCCGTGAATTTATCTGTATCTCGGGCAGAAACACAAAGAAACGATTTCAAAGCCCATTTTCTTCTTCGCACCCTTTCAAAAAAATTTTCACTAGAAATTCATCGTTTCACCAAATAAATTTTTCCGTCGATTCTTTTAATTGATCTATTTTTCGCGAGACAGGTTCTCAAGTGTTGCTTGTCGCATTTTCACGGGTGCTTAGACACGCACTGGACAGGCGGATAGCATACGTTGCACACGAAACGCACAGACAGTAAGATGTTCGTGAACCTAGCATATCATTTTCCAGCAGATCAAAAATAAAAGAGAGTTCTTGTCGCATGCAGTCGAGTTCTATAGTTCCTTATAGTTTTTAGTAATAGTTCTGGTGATTTTATCCAAAAAACACCAATCGAAAAAATGATCTGCTAACTTCCCGTAGCAGATCATTTTCTAGCAGATCAAAAATAAAAGAGAGTTCTTGTCGCATGCAGTCGAGTTCTATAGTTCCTGATAGTTTTTAATGATAGTTCTGGTGATTTTAATAAAAAAAACACCGATCGAAAAAAATGATCTGCTACGGTTAATTTACCCGAAAAACGCGCATTTTTGAGCATATGTGTGATATGCTGGCCGCATATTGATAGTTCTGTTGATAATTAAAGAGTTTTCGTGTAGTTCTGAGCGAGTACATTGCTTTTCCAAAGAGTTCTGACGACTAAAATAATTAGAAAATTTTTTAAACAATTAATTTACCCGAAAAACGCGCATTTTTGAGCATATGTGTGATATGCTGGCCGCATATTGATAGTTCTGCTAAAAATTAGACAGTTCTCTTCTTTATTGTGCTGCGCCATTTCATGTCATGAGCACGGAGATGAGTTCGAATAGTTACATACGATATATATAAACCTTTTTGCTTCAATTTTGCTTGTCCTTGACGCAGTGTTAAGCCAGGATTCCGCGAAAACAGATCAACGATCATTTTATCACCTTTTTTGTCCACTTTGCCTTTTGAGCCACGTTCCGGTAAATCATCCACATTTTTTGTGGCTTTATATCGCAGAATCCACTTCTTCACAAATGTTCTTGACTTTTTAATATATTTAGCAGCTGCTGATTGCGACATTTTTGGACCTTTTGGGTGAATGCACAGAAACACAGCCTCGTAGCGCTTTGCGTATTTGGCACTCATGGCGCTTAGCGTGTTTTTCTTACAAAAGATCAACAACAACTAAATCTTTTTTAAAATGCGCCAAGGACAAAGGTTTGCTCTATCAATTCACATAAGATTTAGAATAATATTTTTTACCGATTGTGAATAAGGTTTGGCACGCTCTTATTTAACTGACTGTAGTAGAGTTTATAAAAGTTGTTAACAATTATTTAAATATTAGAAACCAGAACTTTTCTGAAATGTATAGAAGTATTAAATATATAGTTCGAAAAAACCCCCCAATATACAATAACGTATCACAATTACATAAGCGAAAAGATGATAAAAATTGTTAACAATTATTTTTATTACTATTGATGGATATTGTTATTGAGAACTTTCCAATATCAACTAGAGCCTCGATACTTATACGTTCAACAACTTGGCGATATAATTTGTTTACTAAATATAATTAATTTTACCCATAAAATTTTATTAGAAATAAAAAGTAATTGTTTAAAAAATTTTCTAATTATTTTAGTCGTCAGAACTCTTTGGAAAAGCAATGTACTTGCCCAGACTGCACGAAAACTCTTTAATTATTAAC